TCAGGGGGAGAGAGGTGGGGAAGCGGGGAGAGATTAACCATATAACTTATATGCATTTATGCATAGCCCACAGACACAGGAAATAGTGTGGTAAGCCTGGGGGGAAATGGGCAAGAGTAGATGGGAAGGGGTTAACTGGGGGGTGGGAGGGAACATCTGTAATACTGAAATAAATAAAGATATATTTAAAAAATAATAATAAAAATAAAAGTCAATGGAACATAGAAACCCACACCTGAAACCTATATGTTCATGTTGACCAATGTAAGTAACCCCAATTAATTTAATAAATATTTTTAAAAAGTCAATGGAAAAAATATCCTCATGTGAGGATTAATCAAAAAGTAAAAGTAAAAATAAATGGTTAAGATGGTAAATCTGATGTTATGCATATTTTACTACAATATATCTTTTTAAAAGCACATCTTCCCAGCTAACCTTCTAAACCCTAGGCTAAGAATCCCTGTACCCATGATTCTTTCTCCCTCTCCCTCTGTATTTTAAAATATTTTTCTCAACTGTAATCTCTCTGGTCGAATGGGGACCTACTCAGACATTCTCTGATGACCCTGAGACCCAATCTCTACTGGAGAAATAGGATCTGTCATTTCACACTGAGCACCTGGATAGGTTTTCACCTACGCTGCCTAGTTAGGCATTGAATTCTTAATCCTGCATCTGTGGGCGGCAAATTCATTAATATGGAAGTGGGAATCACTCAACAGACACCCATTTTGTTAAGAATATTAAGTTTCAGCAACTAGGTTCAGGGGGAAAGTCCGCTACTGCAACTGACCTTGGAGATCTACAATGTGAGAATGTGAAGGTGTGCTGTGAAGCTGCAGAAAGTAAGTGGTGATACACTGTGCAGCACACAGAGGGGGAGGAAAAGGGTCTGAGTAAGAAGTGCCTATTTGTGGAAGCAAAGACACATAACAATAGCAGAAGCAAAATGTGAGACAAAAGAATTATCACCACTAACAGCACAGTGTGTGTGTGTGTGTGTGTGTGTGTGTGTGTGTGTGTCTGTGTGTGTGTGGCTGTTCCTTAGGATGACTGACTGCCTTTATGCTTCAGAAACATCACAGGGTCTGAACCAAAAGAGACTTTCTCAAGGCCGTGGCACCCGACTGCAATGACGATCTCCACCTGTGGAGCCCTGCTGCCTGTATTGCTGTGGCCATTTTTGTTTCGCTGGTAATGGCCAGGTCCCTTAATGTAGAAGTGACCGGGCTGGCTTTGGCATGGTAAAAGCCCTGAATGCCACTTCCAGGGCTATATAGGGGTTAAATCAAGAGCTGAGCCAGTCAGGGAGGTAGTTCTAGAATAGGGCAGCAGTAGACTATTGGCTGCTGCAGCATCACCACGGTTGTGAGGAACGTAAGGGAGTGTGCTGTTTAATCCTTCTGACCTTTCTCAGGTGATAGGACGTATATCCAAGATCCTGCATTTGGTGTGTCCCATCCCTGGGAACTGCTTTCAAGGCGGAAGCAGATGCGGTCCAGCAGGATGAGACTTTTGATCTAAACCTGATCTCAGAGATACGAGATCTTAGAAATAGCAGTGGGGAAATGTTAGGGGCAAAGATAGACTATTGGGGACTAGCTATGGTTATGAGAAATATTAATCAGGCTCTGTTAACCATGATTGGTTAAAGAAAGGACACTCTGCCCTAACCGGTTTGGCTCGGTGGATAGAGCGTCAGCCTTCAGACTGAAGGGTCCCAGGTTTGATTCCGGTCAAGGGCATGTACCTTGGTTGTGGGCACATCCCCAGTGGGGAGTGTGCAGGAGGCAGCTGATTGATGTTTCTCTCCCTCTCATCGATGTTTCTAACTCTCTATCCCTCTCCCTTCCTCTCTGTAAAAAAATAAAAATAAAAAAAAATCAATACAATATATTAAAAAAAGAAAGGACATTCTGACCTGGCTGGGAGTTGTACACCCCCAGGACCTAGGAGACAACCTTGGAATCATTCTCGTTCAAGAACTGCCTATTATCATGGAAAGATTAACAACCTTGTTGCCCAAACAATAGAGTCCCACCCAGCCTCCTACTTCCCCATGCCGGTAATCCCTACTTCCCCATGTAATCTTTGTCCTACTTTATATAAGCAGCTGGTTTATCGGGGAGGGGCGCCTGCAGAGCAGATTTTTGTGAATGACCTGCTGCTCTCCCATACTGTGAATGGTATTGGAATAAATGCTCATATATGATTTTTTAAAAATATATATTTTACTGATTTTTTTACAGAGAGGATAGACAGTTAGAAACATTGATGAGAGAGAAACATCGATCAGCTGCCTCCTAAAAAAAAAGGGCATGTACCTTGGTTGTGGGCACATCCCCAGTAGGGGTTGTGCAGGAGGCAGCTGATCGATGTTTCTCATCAATGTTTCTAACTATCCCTCTTCCTTCCTCTCTGTAAAAAATCAGTAAAATATATTTTTTTAAAATTTAAATTAGAAGACTAAAAGTTTAATTTTGATAGATGAGAACATCATAGTGTGACCAAATGTATGAGGAAACTCTGTCTTGTGAAGAGTAAATGTCAGTGGAAATGCCCCACATAGGAGTCCATGTGATGGTCTTGTTTCTAAAGCCTTTAATGTAAGATGCTGCTGATCTTAAGATTCACGGTTGACCAATAAATTCAGAAAACATGAACAGAGGAAGTAACATTTGAGAGGAAGTAACAGAGGAAGATGAGTCAGCCCTGCCATGTATACATAGCGTTTGGAAAAGAACTTCCCAGGGAGAGAAAGAGCAAATCTCTACACAAATAAAAGTTCTTTATATTCTTTAAAAAAAAAAAAGATTCACTGTTATGGCTGAAAAAGGGAGAAATACTGTCAATTAGACTATCCTGTTCAATTTTTATTTTATATTCACTAAAAGCTCCTTTATAGTTACTGATGTTGGTGAGGGACACATGGGGCTCAGTGTGCTACAACCTGTTCTTTTTCCTATGTTTGTAAATTCTCAAATGGTCTGTAATAAAAGAGGTGTTCTTTGGGGATATAGATCTGGGTATGCAGACTTTAGTATAGAATTTTGTTTCTTTTCTTTTTTTAACATTTCAGAGAGGAAGGGAAAGGGAGAGAGAGATAGAAATATCAATGATGAGAGAGAATCATTGATTGGCTGGGGATCAAGTCCACAGCCCAAGCATGTGCCCTGACCGGGAATCAAACCATGTCCTCCTGGTTCATAGGCCGATGCTCAACCACTGAGCCATGCTGGCCATTCTGCTTTTCATTTTAAAATAGTTGCAATATTTTCCTAATTTTAGCTTTCATTTTTTAAAAAATATATTTTTATTTTATTTTTTACAGAGAGGGATAGAGAGTTAGAAACATTGATGAGAAGAAACATTGATCAGCTGCCTCCTGCACACTCCCCACTGGTGATGTGCCCACAATCAAGGTACATGCCCTTGACTGGAATTGAACCTGGGACCTTTCAGTCTGCAGGCTGATGCTCTAGCCACCGAGCCAAACCAGTTAGGGCTAGCTTTCATTTTTTAATGTAATATTATCAACTATTTTTATTTTTCAATTAAACTTAATTTATTTTGAGAGCGAGAGAGAGAGAGAGAAAGAGAAAGAGAGTGAGAGAGAGAAACAAACATTGAGATCAGTTGCTGCCCTGACCGGGGATTGAACCCACAACCTGGATATGTGCCCTGACGGGAATTCAACTCACCACCTTTTGGATAATTCTCCAACAAACTGAGTCACACTGGCCAAGGCTTATTTTTAAACTAACTTTTTACTTTGCAATTCTGGCCACATTGAAAGTAATGGCCTTTTTCCTGGAAGCAAATTATTCTGAGTCCTGAGGATTTCCTATATTGGGTATTGTTTTTTTAAAACAGTGGCTCTCAAACCTGGCTACCCCCAAGGCTGCCCAGACTTGAGTGGACTCTGGTGGTGCTCCCTGGTGTGGGTGCTCCTCCCCCCAAAAAAGCCTGATGGACTCAGAGTAGCAGGTGGCTTTGGGCTGGCCACCAATTTGCCTATATGTGCCAGGAAAACAGGGTCAACAGCCTGACCCAGATGCTCCAGTGCCAGAAGGGCAGCCTGTGTCCTTCCTCTAACCTCCAGAACAGAGAGAATGGAACATTCTAGACCAGCAGTTCTCAACCTGTGGGTCGCGACCCCTTTGGGGGTCGAACGACGCTTTCACAGGGGTTGCCTAAGACCATCGGAAAACACATATATAATTACATATTGTTTTTGTGATTAATCACTATGCTTTAATTATGTTCAATTTGTAACAATGAAATCGGGGGTCCCCACAACATGAGGAACTGTATTAAAGGGTCGCGGCATTAGGAAGATTGAGAACCACTGTTCTAGAATCTTTACAGCTGGGGAGGAAGTGGCTAAGTAGGAACACGTCTAGTTTCTTTCCAGCCCAATCTGGCTTCCTTCTCTGTGTTGTGTTTTTGTTTTCCTATTCATGCCTGGTGCTGTGCTCTCTGTCATTTCTAGTGGACAGTGAATTGTGATAACCCAGATGTCCGAGTAGAGTATACGGGGCGTTATCCAAGGCGTCCCTTGAGATAAACTTAACCGTGCAGGTATTCGGACATTGAGTAGTTGCTAGTGAAGAGACTACTCTAAGCAAGCAGGACTGAGGGTAGGCATTATCATCTGACCTAGAGGCCCAGTGCCTGAAATTTGTGCACTGGAGGGGGGCGTGTTCCTCAGCCCAGCCTGTACCCTCTCCAATCTGGGACCCCTTGGGGGATGTCCGACTGCCGGTTTAGGTCCGGAACATTCCTCTCACAATCTGGGACTGCTGGCTCCCAACCACTCGCCTGCTTGCTAGCCTGATCACCCCCTAACCACTCCCCTGGTCGCCCCCTAACTGCCCTCCCCTGCCAGCCTGGTCACCCCCAACTGCCCTCCCCTGCTGGCCAGGTCCCCCCAACTGCTCTCCCCTGCCGGCCTGGTTGCCCACAACTACCCTTCCCTGCCAGCCATCTTGTGGCAGCCATCTTTGACCACATGGGGGTGGCCATCTTGTGCAACGGGGTGAGGGTCAATTTGCATTTTACCTCTTTATTATATAGGATAGTTAAGACTGCCAGAGGAATTACGCCACACAAGAATATGTAGTTGCAAATCACATAGCACACTTTATTACTCACAGGGTTCCTGGTGCAGTGGGCTCAAACTTAACAGGGTCCGCAGAAAAGAATAGTGTCTTCTGTGGGCAGCAGTAGGTCTGTCTTTGGGTGCCTGGCTGTCTGGCTGGGTCGAGTCAGCGGGAGGAGGGTGACCGAAGCCTCATGATCAGTGATCAGAGGTTTAGCTGTTCTGCTGTCCGGCGTGGAGCAAGAAGGTGATCAATGTCTGAAGTCGGGGACTTGTTTTTAAGCCTGTTCTAGCCCATGGCAGTCCAGGTGGCTATCAGTAACATATGTCATCACACAAGTGTTAATCAGAGTACGAGCTGGTTATCTATCACAGTGTCACTCAGAAGGTGTCTATCATGTTTACATACGTCATTCCTAAGGGTAGCATTCAGCTATGGTCTTATCTATATGGTGCAGCTAGGGCTTGGCCAGAGTGGTCATTCCCTGTGCTCTTTAATATTTCACAAAAAATAATTTTTCTATAAGT